TACAAAGGACACAAACTCATCGTTTTTGATGGCTGCATAATATTCCATGGTGTATATGTATCACATTTTCCCAGTTCGAATGGCGATCATTAAAAAATCTGGAGACAACAGATGCTGGAGAGGATGTGGAGAAATAGGAACACTTTTACACTGTTGGTGGGAGTGTAAATTAGTTCAACCATTGTGGAAGACAGTGTGGCAATTCCTTAAGGACCTAGAAATAGAAATCCCATTTGACCCAGCAATCCCATTACTGGGTATACATCCAAAGAATTATAAATCGTTCTACTATAAGGACACATGCACACGAATGTTCATTGCAGCACTGTTTACAATAGCAAAGACCTGGAACTAACCCAAATGCCCATCGATAATAGACTGGATAGGGAAAATGTGGTACAGATGAAATATTTTAAATATGTTACTAGAAGGCATCACAAACATAAAATAATAAGGAATTACTTAGAAAACTTCTCACTGCAGAAAATATAAACTCAAATAGACAGGTTCAGCACTCAAAGCCACTTTAGCCCAGAAAACATGTGTTAAACAGGGGAAAAAAAAAAAAAAGAAAGAAACTGAGCTATGGTTTATAGAGAAGTAAAAACCCTCAATCTATCCAAAAGGTGAAAGGTAAAACACCACTTGAATTTAACCTTCTTTAAAAAAAAAAAATCCAAAATAAATAATGTAAACTTCCGCTCTAGGAAACTAAATCCAAAGTAAGCACAAGAAAAAAATTAATAATAAAAATTAAGACAGAATCAATGAAATTGAAAATAGGACATTGTTAAAGAAAATCAACAAAACAAAGAGCTAGTTCTTTGAAAAGATCAATAAAATTGATATGCCATTAAAAAGTCTAACTACGGAAAATAAAAGAAAGAAGACACAAGTTACTAATATCAGAAATGAAAAGGAAAACATCACTAAAAATCCCACGGGCACTGAAAGGATAGTAAAGGAATAGTATGAATAAATCCGTGCCCACAAATATAACTTAAATGAAATAGACCAATACTGGGAAAGCCACAATCTGCTAAAACCCATACAAGAAGAGATGGGCATTAATAGGCCTATTTCTATTGAAGAAATTAACTCAATAATTAATAACCTTCCCAAACAGAATGTACCAGGCCCAGATGGGCTCACTGGTGAATTCTATCAAACATTTAAGGAAGAATTTATGACAATTCTCTGCAACCTCTTCTAGAAGATGGAAATAGAGTAAATACTTTCTAGCTCCTTCTATGAGGCCAGTAATACTCCAATAACAAAAGTGACTAAGGTAATTGCAAGAAAAGAAAACTACAGACCAATATGTCTCATAAATATGGATGTAAAAATTCTTAATACAGTACTAGCAAATAGAAACCAATAATGTATAAAAACACTTATGTATCATATCCAAGTGGGATTTATCTCAGGAATGCAAGGTTACTCCAACACTTGAAAATCAATTAATTTAATTGATCACATCAATAGGCTAAAGAACAACTACATGATAATATAAATAGATACAGAAAAAGTACTTGACAAAATCCAACACCCATTTATGATTAAACAGTCTGAGCAAACTAGGAATAGAGAGATAAAAAATATGTATTTTAAAAACTACAGTTAACATCATACTTGACGAGAAACTAAAAGCTTTGCACTAAGATCAGGAACAAGAAAAAAAAATGTTCCCTCTCATTACTGCTTTTGAATATCATACTGAAAGTCCTAGTAGGGCATAAGACAAGAAAAGGAAATTAAAGTTATATAGATTCAGAAGGAATAAATAAAACTGTCTTTGTTTTCAGATGACATGATTGTTATAGAAAATCCAAAATATCCAAAAATCTCTCCTGGAACTAGTAAGGAATTATAGAAAAGTTTCAGGATACAGGGTTAATATACAAAAGCCAATTGCTCCCTTATATAGTAGCAATGAACAAATGGAATTTGAAATAAAAAAACACAATATCATTTATACTAGCAGCCCCCAATTTGTTAGATATAAATCTATATACAAAATTAATATGAGAAAAACTGCAGAACTCTGAAAGAAGAAATCAAATAATAACTAAATAAATGGAGAGATATTCCATGTTCATGCATAGGAAAACTCAATGTTATTGTGGTGCCATTCTTCCCAACTTGATCAATAGATTCAACATAGTCTTAATCAAAATCCTAGCAAATTACTTTGTGGATATCAACAAAATTATTCTAAAGTTTATGCAGAGAGGCAAAAGACTCAGAATAGCTAACGCAATATGGAAGAACAAGTTTGGAGGATTGATACCACTTCCTTCTTTTTAACTAAGTTCTGGGATACATGTGCAGAACGTGCACATTTGTTACATAGGTATACATATGTCATGGTGGTTTCCTGCACCTGTCAGTCCATCATCTAAGTTTTAAGCCCCACATGCATTAGGTGTTTGTCCTAATGCTCTTCTTCCCCTTACTCCGTACCTCCTGACAGGCCCTGGACACTACCTACTATAAGACTGCAGTAATTAAGGCAATGTGGCATTGACAAAAGAATAGAAAAATAGATCAATGAAATAGAATAGAGAGCCCAGAAACAGACTCACATAAGTAGAGTCAACTGATTTTTGACAAAGGCATAAACACAATGCAATGGAGAAAACATAGTTTTTCAACAGATAGTGCTGAAATAACTAGACAGCCACATTAAAAAAATGAATCTAGACACAGACATTACACCTTTCACGGAATATTCCATACAATGAAATCTTATTCTCAGAAAGAAACGAGCTATTTAGCTATGAAAACACGTGGAGAAACCTTAAATACATACTGCTAAGTGAAAGAAGTCAATCGGAAAAGGCTACATACTGTATGATTCCAACTATATAACATTCTGGAAAAGGTAAAACTATAGAGACAGTAAAAGATCAGTGGTTACCAGTAGGTAGTGGGGAGAGGGGAATGACTAGATGAAGCACAGGGGATTTTTAGGGTGGTGAGACTATTCTGCATGATACTGTAATGATGAATACATGCCATTATGCACTTGTCAAAACCCACAGAATGCGCAATGCCAAGAATGAACTCCACTGTAAACAATGGACTTTGGGTGATGATGTGTCAGTGGAGGCTAATGGATTGTAACAAATGTACCACTCTGGTGAGCAAGATCGATTACTTCAGGAGATTGTGCATGTGTTGGGGTAAAAGGTATGTAGGAATTTTCTGTACTTTCTGCTCAATTTTTGTATAAATCAAAAATAGTTCTAAAAGAGTAAAGTGTGTGTGTGTGTGTGTGTGTGTGTGTGTAGTGTATATATATATATACATATATATGTGTATATATATATATACATATATATATGTGTATATATATATACACATATATATATATGTATATATATATATACACATATATATATGTGTATATATATATATATATATATAGAGAGAGAGAGAGAGAGAGAGAGTGAGTAATGTCCATTCCTGCCTGAGTTTCCAGCCTGCCCTACAAATTTTAAACTTGCTACCCTCTACAATTGCATGAGCCAATTCCTTGAAGTAAATATCTTTACATATAAATAGACTGGAAATGGCATATTGTAGCTGGGTGACTGGATGGAGGGCAAAGGTGGGGATCTTAAAGGTTGGAAATTTGTTCCCAAAAAAGAGAGATATTATTCACAAACACAAAACTTGCCTTTTCCAACCTTTGCCTTGGTACTAGAAATTGCAGCTATAGCTTGCTGTGGTCAGGGCCAAGTCACTTAATTCAAGGCTAAAATGGTCTAGTCTAGTTTCCCCAGTTGTCTCATTATTCTTCTCTTCTATCCAAAAAGAAGGGACAGAAGTAGAGAGACAGAATGACCAAAGAGCAGTGCACACAGGCGCATGATCTCCTTTAAAGGAAGATCCTTAAACAGTATTTATTGCACAACACCAAAAGGGAATACCTTCCATTTTAAGAAATTTGGTACGGGATAAACTTGATCTCAGAGATACGTTTCAGTGTTTCTTTTTCTCTGTGAGATACCATTGAAACTTTTTTTTGGTGCCAACCCTCAAATTTCATTTCTTTTTTTGGAAAATATCTACATGTTTCAAAACATGTAGCTATAAAGAAGAAAAATAGTAACTTATAATTTCATTGCAAAAAAGAAAACCGTTGTTAAGCTTTGTGACTTCTCATACCAATTTCTACCAGATTGCTTTGCATCAAATTATTGCCCTAAAAATTTCCAGCATGCTTAATTTATCATTTTTATTCTAGAATATTTTATGAAAGAATTCAGAGAATGAATAGTGTAGTGAGTACAAAACTGGCACTAGTAGGTGGACAACACATTGATTACGTTTCATCTATTTATTACAACAGAAGAGTGCTTTTAAGTTAAATAAATGAAATAGTAGGGAATACCATAACATATATTAATTTGATTCTTTTTCTCTTATTGTTATCATTCAATATTAACCTTAGATATGGTCTTACACCTTCCTTGTCATAATCTTCACAAAGTGGTAAAATAGAAGGGGGTAGATACTGGAATCAAATCGACTTATTAAGTTATTTAACATCCTAATTCACAGTTTTCACTATTCTACCTCAAGTAACTGATATGAGGAATAATGAGGAATATTGTGGATACTCAATAAATGTTTGTGTTCTCATTCCTTTACCTCATCCCATGCCTGCCTCACTGGGGCAGAATCGCTCGGCTCCAGAGCCTCATAACAAATGCCCTGTTCACTATAGCTGATATGCTGGCTTTAGAGATGTGAGGGAAATAGTGGTTTTTCTGTTAATAATGGTTGCCTCACTGAGGTTAGGAAAGAGGCTGAGACAGAGTTTCTCATTCCACAGCCTAATAAAAGAATGAAACATTCTTTTTGTTGCATCCCTAAATCAGAGTCAACTGATAACCTTCCCCTAATATCAATATGCCAGTAATAGAATTACTGAAGTGATGGAAAACAGGTAGGGGTTGATCAAGATTAGACATCACCATCTAGATATCTAATCATGAAAGTGATGTCTTCCCACTGCCGAAAAATTTACACAAAGCCTCCTTCATGTCTCTGCTCCTTAAGCTATAAATGAATGGGTTTAGCATAGGAATAATCACCATGTAGAGAACTGCAGCCCTTCTTGTCCTCTCTGTAGAGTAAGTTGATGGAGGAAGTAAATACACACCCATAAGAGACCCGTAGAAGAGCAGAACCACCATGAGATGAGAACCACAGGTAGAGAAGGCCTTCCATCGCCCTCCAGGAGATGAGATGCCAAACACAGCCCAGGAAATGCGGACATAGGAGAAGACGATCAGCAGGAGGGGAACAGTGAGGAACAGCAAGCCCATGGTGATGATCATCAGCTCATTTACATGGGTATCTGTACAGGCAAGCTTCAGGAGAGCACTGGGATCACAGTAGAAATGGGGAATGGCTTTCTGGGCACAGAAACCCACATGGGTCAGCAGCAGTGTGTGCATCAGGGCAGGACAGTTGGTTAGCACCCAGCACATACCCAGCATTAGTGCACAGAGCTGGGGACTCATAGCTGTGCTATAATGGAGTGGCTGGCAGATGGCCACATAGCGGTCATATGCCATCACAGCCAGCAGGCAGTTGTCAAGGCCACCAAATATAAGGAGGAAATATAGCTGTGCAAGACACCCAGAATAGGAGATGGTCTGACTTTGGGTATGAATGTTGGCCAGCATTTTTGGGATTGAGGCAGTAGTGAAACAGGCATCAGTTAATGATAGGTTGGCCAGAAATAAGTACATGGGAGTATGAAGGTGTGGGTCAGAGCTGATGGCCAGGATGATGGCAGGTTTCCCACCATGGTGACTAGGTACATGCCAAGGAAGATGCCAAAGAGAAGAGGCTGCTCCTCCGGCCGCTCAGAGAGTCCTAGAAGGAGGAAGTCTGAAACTGGTTTGGTTCACTCTGCCTGGTTTTCCCATCCCTTGTAGTTCTTGTTATCTGTGCAGATAAAACCTTCCATGTGTCAGTATTTGTTTATTAGATCAATTTACAGACATGCATCTGTGTGGCCAGAACTGTGCTGGGAGAAAAGAAAAAGAAAAATAAATGGTCTTTGCCAATAAGAATCTCTGAATCCCATTGGGAATGCAAGGAAATACCCAAGAAATGTTTAGAGAACAGTTATGATAACATCCATTCAAATCTCAATTGTGCTCTCTATGCTTTAGCAGAATCCAAAGAAAAGAGATTCATTTGACCAGAGAAATTAGCATGGGCTATTTAGAGGAAGTGAGAATTGAGAATAGCTTGATGGCAACATTAGAAAATCCATTTGTTATTGTTAATTGGAAAGAAGGTGCATGATCTCCATCAAACTCTTCCCCCTCCTCCAACACACACACACACGAACCTTTTTTTTTTTTATTATTGCATTTTAGGTTTTGGGGTGCATGTGATGAACATGCAAGATTGTTGCATAGGTACACACTTGGCAGTGTGGTTTGCTGCCTTCCATCCCCTCACCCGTATCTGTCATTTATGGGGACTGAAATTGACTTTTAAGACAAGATAACCTCCTCCCCACTTGCCTTTCAGTCCCTAGAATTTGACCTTACCCATCCAAACTAGTCCTGTACTCTTTCCTAACTAGCAGCATAGGACATGTGAGTTAAGGACAGTAGTTGCCTGTGGTTTCATACTCTCCCACTCACTGTTAGGATGTTCCCTCTCCCCACAGACACACACAAACAGGACAGGGGAGCCATCCTCTCCCCTCCATCACTTCCTCTCCTTTATCCCTGTCCTCTTCCCCCTATTTTTGCTGCTAAGAATCTGTTCTTGGCACTGTTATTTTAGTACACCTGTGCCTTAACCCCTACATTTGTACTACATTTCTCTAATATTTATTTTTAACCAGAGGGAAGGAAGGTGAAAGGTATCGCCCTGGCTTTTTGGCTTGAACATAACCGGTCTGTTTTCCTGCTGCCCTAGTGAGCTGGTAGGAGAAACCACCTCATATTCATCTTGTAGAAGTTTGGCCTTAGAAGCTTTTGTGACTATTTTAGTCCTCCGTTTGTTCTTTGGTTCATAGAGAAGCTTCTGACCTGAGGTAGAGACTCAGCACTTTCCCAGGAAACTGCTGCCTGATCACCTGGTCATCAGACTGGGAAGGAAGGTAGGGTGTGTGTGTGTCCATCCATCCTACCCCTTCCAAATTCTCACCTGTCCGATTATGGATCAGTTATAGGTGTCTTCAAATTCTCCAATTCTCTCCCATGGATGGAAAATTCCTAATAAAAAACTCTCTGAGACCTTTCTGACTCACAGGCAATAAAGTCAGGGTCTATTGAGTCGAGAGTTCATTAGAACACCTGGAGTGTATGACTTGATTTCAGCTTCCCCAGGCATAAGACAGGATTATTTCTTCCTGGACAGGAATATTTCTAAAGGTTATAAAGGCTTGTAGAACACTATCTCCCAACGTGCTCATTAGGGCCGACCTCAGAGTCATTGTGCAGCCTGTTCTCCAGCCAACTCTGGCTGGATCCTAAGGGAACTGAGGACCTCTCTTTCCCAGGGACTAAGCTCTCTTGCTGGAAAGCAGTACGTTTCAGCCTGAGTCACAGGTCTCCTGGGAACTCCTGCCTGTATGCATTAGGCAATTCTGCACTTGTCCCATGTCCTAGGCAAAACTGCATTAAAGGATAACCAGGAGTGTAAACTATAACATGACTATTTCTGCTGCCAATTTCCTTAAAGAGAGTAATCCTAATAGAAACAATACCCTCAAAAACTCCAAAACTCTGAATTAATGAGGCAACCTAAATAAAGCACACTAGCCATTAAAAAAAAAAAAAAAAAAAAAAAAGCTACTCGGCCGGGCGCGGTGGCTCAAGCCTGTAATCCCAGCACTTTGGGAGGCCGAGGTGGGTGGATCACGAGGTCAAGAGATTGAGACCAACCTGGTCAACATGGTGAAACCCCGTCTCTACTAAAAATACAAAAAATCAGCTGGGCATGGTGGTGCGTGCCTGTAATCCCAGCTACTCAGGAGGCTGAGGCAGGAGAATTGCCTGAACCCAGGAGGCGGAGGTTGCAGTGAGCCGAGATCGCAACATTGCACTCCAGCCTGGATAACAAGAGCGAAACTCCATCTCAAAAAAATAAAAAAATAAAAAAAAAGCTACTCATATCTCCTGTATTTTAATTAATTCTATTAAGTGGAAAGAGTGGAATTCCCACCTAGGTCTGCAATGACTCTGGAGTACATGCTCTTATCCACTATGCTTTGTTCCAGTATCATTGTTGGTTTTAATCATAAGCAACTTCATAGGTCTAAAATCATCAAAATTTTTGTAGCTATTGTAAATGGGATTGAGGTCTTGATTTGGTTCTCAGCTTGATTGTTATTAGTGTGTAGAAATGCTGCTGATTTTTGTACATTAATTTTGCATCATGACACTTTACTAAATTCATTGATCAAACCTAGGCATCTTTTTGAGGAATCTTTAAGGTATTCTAGGTATTAGATCATATCATCAGCAAACAAAGATACTTTGACTTCCTTTTTCAAATTTGGATGCCTTTTATTTATTTCATTTCCCTGATTGTTCTGGGTAAGACCTCTAGCACCATGTTGAATAGGAGTGACAAAAGTGGCCATCCTTGTCATTCTCTAGTTCTTAGGGGGAATGCGTGCAGCTTTCCCGCATTCAGTATTATGCTGGCTATGGGTTTGTCAGATGTGGCTTTTACTATATTTAAGTATATTCCTTCTATGCCTAGTTTGTTCAGCATTTTTATCATAAAGGGATGTGGAATTTTATCAATTGCTTTTTCTGTATCTTTTGAGATGATTGTAATGTTTTTTATTTAAATGCTGTTTATGTGGTGAATCACATTGATTGATTTGTGTATATTTAACTATCCTTGCATCCCCTGAAACAAAGCCTACTTGATCATTGTGTATTATCTTTTTGATGTGCTGTTGGATTCAGTTTGCTAATGTTTTATGGATAATTTTTGCATTGATTTTCCCCACGGATATTAGTCTGTAGTTTTCTTTTTTGCGTGTCCTTGTCTAGCTTTGATATACAAGTGATACTTGCTTTGTAGGATGAATTAGGGAGGATTCCTTCCTCCTTGACTTTTCAGAAGAGTTTCAGGAAGACTGGTGCTGGTTCTTCTTTGCATGTTTGGTGAAATTCAGCTGTGAATTAACTGGTCCTGAGCTTTTTGTTGTTGTTATTGGGAGATTGTATGATTCAATCTCACTACCATTATTGGTTTATTCAGCATTTCTACTTGTTCCTGGAAGAATCAGGAAAGTTTATATTTCAGGAATTTATCCATTTTCTCAAGGTTTACTTGTTTGTGGATTCATAGTTGTTTATAGTAGTCTCTGATGATACCTAAGATCATATGTAACCAAGGATGTAAATATGTCTACAAGAAGAACTATAAAACACTGAAGAAAGAAATTTTAGATGACACAAATAAATGGAAAAACATCCCATGATCATGAATTGGAAGAATCAATATTGTTGAAATGACCATGCTGCCCAAAGCAGTCTATAGATTCAATGCAGTTCTTATCAAAATACCAACATCATTTTTCATAGAATTAGAAAAAAAAATCCTAAAATTGATATAGAACCAAAAAAAGGCCCAAATAGCCAAAGGAATCCTAAGCAGAAAGAACAAAACTGAAGGTATTACATTACCTGACTTCAAATTATACTAAAATGTTATAGTAACCAAAGCAACATTGTACTAGTATAAAAACAGACGTAGATCAATGGAAATAAAGCCACATGCTTAGAGCCAACTGATCTTTGATAAAGTTAACAAAAACATACACTGGGGAAAAGACACCCTATTCAATGAAAGGTGCTAGGAAAATTGGGTTGCTATATGGAGAAGAATGAAACTGGACCTCTATCTCTCACTGTACACAAAAATTCACACAAGATGGATTAAAGACTTAAGTTTAAGACCTGAAACTATACAAATCCTAGAAGAAAATTGAGGAAAAGCTCCCCTGGAAATTTGTGTTAGTCCATTTGCATTGCTATAAATGAAAATCTGAGGCTGGGTAATTTATAAGGAAAAGAGGTTTATTTGACCCATGGTTCTGCAGTATAGTGCCAGACCTGCTTCTGGTGAGGCCTCAGAAAGCTTGGAATCATGGTGGAAGGTGAAGGGGAGCCAGCGTATCATATGGCAAGAGAGGGAACAAGAGGGATGCTAGACAACCAGCTCTCATGTGGACTCATTACTACAGGGAGGGCGCCAAGCCATTTATGAGGGATCCACCCCCATCGCCCAAACATCTTTCACTGGGCCCTACATCCAACACTGGGGATCTCATTTCAACATGAAGTTTGGAGAGGGCAAACATCTAAACCATATCAACATTGATCTAAGCAAAGAATTCATGACTAACACCTCAAAAGCACAGGCAATCAAGACAGAAATAGACAAACAGAACTAAAACCAAAAAGCTTCTGCACAGCAAAAGAAATAATCAACAGAGTAAACAGACCACCTGCAGAATGGGAGAACATACTTGCACACTATGCATCTGACAGGGGACTAATGTTCAGAATCTACAAGGAAGTCAAACAGCTCAACAACAACAATAAAAGACAAATTAACCCCATTAAAAAGTGGACAAAGGATATGAACAGACATTTTTCTTTTTTTTAAATTGTACTTTAGGTTCTGGGGTATATGTGCAGATCATGCAGGACTATTGCATGCGTACACATGTGGCAATGTGGTTTGCTGCCTCCATCCCCCCCGTCACCTACATCTGGCATTTCTCCCCATGTTATCCCTCCCCTGACCTCCCCACCCTCTGCTGCCCCTCCCTTGGCCCCAACAACAGATCCCAGTGTGTGATGCTCCCCTCCCTGTGCCCATGTGTTCTCATTGTTCAACACCTGCCTATGAGTGAGAACATGCAGTGTTTGATTTTCTGTTCTTGTGTCAGTTTGCTGAGAAT